ATAACAAGAAAGTAAAAACCTGCATGAGCTGCTGTCGGATGCATGTTCCTCTTCACTGGCTCCCTCCTCAGCATCAGATCTGTCAAGCCAGTATGCACCGCCACAGTCCTCTCTGGTGAACTCACATGTACTAACTTTGGAGGTAGATGCCATGGGCCAGGACAGCGAATTCTGGAAACCCTGTTGGTTGGACCTTTGGAAACCAATTGAGGCAAGAGACAGCGGTAGGTTTCCTGAGTCTAAAAACTTTATACCTCTAGTTGTTGCATTCTGTCCTTTGTCCCAGAAGCTGCTTGGCTGGCAATCAACACTAGGATTAGTAGGAGACTGCTGGTGACCAAACCATCTCCATCGAATTTTTAAAATCTGTTTCACGTCGAACTCTTTACGAGAGCCAGACATCTTCAGTGGGAACAAGTTATTGTCTAGGCAACGGGGAAAGTAGCAGAGCACATAAAGAAGATTTGTGCATCCAACCAGGACAAGAGAAACATGCTCTGCCTGTTTATGTATGGCTTGCTGATGAATGTTTTTGGGAGGGGAGGAAGAGACAATATTGCCTTCAAATAGGAGTCACAGAATTGTTAGAACAGCATCTCATCTAAATGGTGGAAAGGAAAATAATGAACACAGTAAACTGTGTTGTTTCTTTCATCAAAACCACCAATCAGTTACATTAAAACAGCCTCTACATTTGCCCTTGTTTGCCTCTTCATCCCCTTATCATTAACTTCTACTAGCACTGACAGCTTTCATTAAAGCACTTTCAGGGCTGCCCACAGTCTCTTTTCCCTAACCCACAAAATGACAAAGAACACAATTTCTATGCTGTGTTTCAGAAGCTTTGTTGTCGGGTTATCCTATTAACTCTTTCCATTCCAAATACAGAGAAGGGAGAGGGGAAAAAGAAAAATCATCTCTGCAATTCTGAAAAGTGGGAGATACAATGTGCTCTCACTAAAAGCCATCTACATGAATCAACAACTCTTATATCGGGGCAAGCCAAATACAGGACACTTCCACTTTACAACTTTTATTTCACCCTATTTCACAAGGAGAAAATATTGTAAACATATTTAAGGAATGCAAACACAAAATAGTTTTATACCTTTTAAAAGAAGGACAGATGATGAATGGACATTGCTAATGAATGGCAGAATTTTCTTCTCAGCAGTTATTTAAATCACAAAGAAAGATGGCAGAAAATGAGACAAAAGTTTTGCTCAAGTGAAAAGAACAAAAAGGACCATAACCTTGATAAAAACAGATGCATACATAAGGCTAGCTTTAAAAAGGGTGGTGGTGGTTTAGGAGCCTATTGTTAAACTTTAAAAAAAATCTCAATCAGAAGCACAGAAAAGTCAGGGAAGAAGGTTAAGACTGTTAGGGAACAAAAGAATGAAACCAATGGCTAAGGATTAACAGGGAGATAGTAGAGCAGATGAATATAAGAATATTAGCTGTGGAAGATGCTGGTAAGACAGTATGTCTGAACTGATCCACCAGAACCATTCATAGAAAAATCCTGAAGACTCAGCTGAAACATTGGTGACAAAATGAAATTCTAGGATCAACTGACAAACTACAGAGTTGGCAGTCAAACTGAACAAGCAGATTTAGGGCAGACAAAAGCTATACGCATTGTTTGATGCATAATTTATAAAATTCATTATCACATGATGAAACAGCCAGTAGCTTAGCTAGCTGCAAGAAAGGATTAGACAAATCCATTGAGGACACGTCTATCAAAGGCTATTAATTATGACAGTTAAAAAGAATTTCCAGGTTCCAAGGCAGCATGTCACTGAATACAACTTAACTGCTGGAGGGGGGAGGGGGGAGATACAGTGAGAAAGTAGTGGTTGTGGTCTTTCTGAGCCATGTGCTTGGCTTTTTGGAAAAAAGACAGTGGACTAAATGGGACTTTAAGTCTGATCCAAGAAACCTTTCTGTTATTATTGCCATACTTAATTTTTGCAAACACTGATCTACTTATTTCACTTCCATCTTGTCTTACATTAAGAATGGTCAAAAAGGTTCACGTGGGATCCCAAGCACTGAAACCAGTGGTTCCCAGTCTTTGGGTACCCACACTTCTTGGACTAAAACTCCTAGAAGCCTTCACCACTAGCCGTACTGCCCAGGATTTCTGGGAGTTGCAGTTAAAGTCATCTGGAGATCCAAGGTTGGGGACCACTGATTTAGACAGTGTGCAGGGCCAGAGATTACCTCCCCCCAAAAAATCAAGTATATTCAGATGAATTTATTACATTTATATTCTACTTCCCCCAGTTAACTGAAGGTGACTTACGTGGTTCTTCTCTTCCTTATTTCATCCTTACAAAAATCTTATGAAAGGTATGTTCCTATCGGAAAAACACAGCAACTAGCCCAAAGATTTCCAATTACTTTCAATGTTCAATGAAGCCCCATAATCTAACCAGCACATCACATCTGAACTGTTATAATCACATCTGAACTGTTATAATCACTTCATGGTGCTGGTTGTTATAATCACTGCATTTAAACTGACTTTGTTATTTGCAGCTGTGACTTTTGTTACCATTTTTTAAAGTGACCTTCTTTACCTTGAATCAATTATTATAGTGAACTTTGTATGTGTTGGAAAACAAAGGTCCTTTTTGAGGGCTCTTACCATATGATTATCACTACAGCCTTTCCATTTTCCATCCAATGCCAGTAAGTGTCCACTTCTCAATGTATCAGTTTATATTAGAGAGGCTGTGGTCACATCAACAAAATGTTTTCATTTCCCCTCTTTGGTTTTGAAAGTTAAATTTGCAGTCAAATTACACACAGCCATTAGTGAATCATTTACCCAGCAAGCGTACTAATTGCGGATCATTTCTTGCTGGCCAGAGGCTTTTACTTTTTTGTTGCATTGCTACATGTGTGGACGATCTTACTGTAACTTTTTTGAACTATTGTCACTGTGCATGTCCTTTAATTTTTTTAAAAAAATTTCCACAAACCCAAAAACAAACTGGGACGCACATCCTGGATTAAATGCCACCTGACCTCAAAGCACAGCAAGAACGTGATTAAAAGTTGTGTAACCAAAGAGGGATATTTTACTAGTTCGCCCACAGCCAGAGACAGCCCTGCTGATCTTAAGCTTTCAGACTCTTCAGAAAGCCTACTTCCCATTACCAGTTTTAACTGGGCACTGCATACAACACCTAAAGCATTTGGATAGTTGCTTTCTGCCTCATCTCTTCAAACTACACTGAATGAATTTTCATGATTCTGTAACTGTTATATATTTGATTAGTTATATGCCACTTGTATTCTGTAAGCAGAGACACAATCACAGACATAGCAAAAAACACTAAGACATTTACTTTTTCCAAGCTTGCTAAAAAAAAGAACTACAATTCGCACATGCTTAGAATTAGAGTTGCACAAGAAATATGAACTGATAACCAAGTATACCCATGGTATATTTCGGCTAGAATTTATCAACCAGAATTTATTTTCCTTTCCGAAGAATTTACATCTCTGTATACGGTATTTTTTTTCCAAATAAGCAGAACTACTGAAAAATAATATTGGTATTTATTAACATCAATTTTACATGGATTAAAAGCATGGATTTCCCATAATGCACCAAGCATCTAGAGGCAGTGGGCTAAAGTGATTAAATTAAAGCTGCCACCTGAATGCTCTACTTTTGTTCACTACATGCTGTTTTAAAAGATAAGGAAGAAGAACAACCTGTGGTATAATTAATCATCATTTTTTCACAGGCACAATTCCTGAATAATAAGCAGACTTAGAAAAGGCTTTGAATTAAAGAAGAATCCTGAATTTGAAAAAAAGATGTTTTAATGGTAAAATATACATATGGTGAACACACCTTTTAAAGGAACTGGTTAAATCCACAGAATAGTCACATAACATGATAAGCAGCTATTATGTCAGGCACAAGCAATATGGAGAGGAGAGGTTGACTTTCACTTAGATATACAAGAAGTATCTATCCTAAACATGGCCAATATCTGAAAACAAATTCCCCATACTCCAAATGTTCTGCAGCTGGATAAGCCCTGTATTACAGATAACTGCAGCAAACACAGTTACTAATTCTTAAAATATTGGGATTTTTAGTTAGATTTTTAAAATGCTTGTTAGAATGATGTTTTGAAATGCCATTTTATTGCTATTTATAGTTAGATGTGTCATTTTGCTGTGATTTATACATTGTTTTGTCTGACAAAATATATAAACTATTTCAAAACCACTTCCCACTGATTTTATTGAAGAAAGGCTAATTTTTTCCCCCCGGAACCACCATGGTCCATCAGAATCAAATCATAATTATCTTTATCAGATGATCATTTTGAAAAATCAGTGGACATTTATATAGGTTATCTTTATAAACTACCAATATGACAAAATACCCTAGGTATGGTCCTGGTATGGAGACAATTAGGCTCACCCTAGAACAGCGATGGCGAACCTATGGCACGCGTGCCACAGCTGGCATGCAGAACCCTCTTTGTGGGCACACAAGCCATAAGTCACTGGATCGCTACCCCCGGCAGTCAAACCAGAGGAGGCGGTTGCAGCCGCAGTGCTAGAGCCCCAACAGGCAGTGGGACAGGATCCAGAGCAGCTGGTGCTGGCAGTGGCGGGCCAGCCATGCTATAGGCAATGGCAGGGTTGGGCACGACTGGAGGCAGATCTGAAATGGGGTCTGGAGGCACCTCTGTGCCCGGGATTCCCCCTTCTGGCACCACTTCTGCTTCTGCCACTTCCGCTGCCGCCAACACCTGCTGCCTGCTGGGTTGCTGTTGCTGTTTTCCAGTTTGGGCACTCAGGCTCAAAAAGGTTAGCCATCACTGTACTAGGGCTTATTTTCAGGTTAGGTCTTATTTTCGGAGAAACAGGGTAATATTAAACTTGTCAGTATCAGTGACTGAAATGCAAACTGAGAGCTAGTCAGGCATTTAATGAGATTCTCTTTGAAAAACACTTACGCTTATTCCTTGCTCCTGTATGACTTGGCTTGATCTGTTTATTTCCATGCTTAGCTATACAAACTTGCAAAGAGATTATACTAGAGACACAGGCAACCTTCTGTGGAACGATGTGCTGTGAAACAAAGAATTTATCCTTAAAATAAGATTAAACCCAATGTTTCTTCTGCTACAGTCTGTGACAGAGGTATGGTGTGATCAGGAGAAAAATCTAACACCTAAGGCCCAGTTCAAATAAGATTTGTACTTGAGCACCACTTTTTTTAAAATAAAAAAAATTCCACAGACTATGTTCCAATGATGTGCATTTGTATTTTTTCCCCACTGGTTCTTTTAAAATAGATGAAAAGAGCAATCAGAAAAATTTCCAACTACCCCCTACATGTATTTAAAAAATACACAACTAAAGACACAAGTGTTATGAAAATCAAATATTTTTTGAAGAACACATATGCTGGTGTCATTCATTCAGAGAGGCACCAGGTAGATTTGCTTATCCATGGAATCACCTGCGTATTCTGAAAGCAGAAAGACTTCATAATGAAATTCTTGTCCTTGTAGCGAGTAATCAACATTTCAAGCTCAAATACACTGCCTCAATGAACATGCTGATTGACTGCAACTGAAAACCTGCATAATTCATCTCCTCCTTGTTTGCACAAAACAGTGATACCATCCTGCCCTTTAAAAAAAAGTTGAATGGAAATAATGAACACTGAAAGCATGTGCGCCCATATATATCCAGGGGACAGATGAAATAATTTTTTTAAAATGATGTTTCTGAAAGAATTTGCAGAAAGCAGACTTCCAGTTATAGGTTTGCCTACAGAGAATGCCCTTTTGCAGCTTTAAAATGCGATAATCCCGTATTTAAAATAGAACATAAAGCCTTACTCGTGAGTAGACCTGCACGAGGGATGGGCAGGGAGCGCACCGGCTTCCCCCGCCTGGTGGCAATCTGGAGCCGCCCCGCTTCTCCTTCCTCTTCCTGCGCCGCCGCCACCACATGCCCCGTCCACAGAGGAGCCCCTCTGACTTGTGCACCCCAACCCAGTGCCTTCGGTGGCCCTTACTCATGAGTAAACCCCCACCTTCTGCAGCCCTGACTCATGAGTAGACCCACACCTTTAGCGGCCCTTCTAGTGATCCTCTGTGAATTCACACAATTGGGTTCTGCGCCTGCGCAGGATGTCTCGGAAGTTTCTAGAGCTTAAAGATATGTGATTAGTAGGATGTTCCCCCGTGGAGCGCATGCTCTGCCTTCCCAAAGTCCGCTCAGTTCCTGTAAGAATCCGCCACTGTCAGAGGCTTATATAAAGACAACATGACGGATAGAGGGGAGGATGGGTGGGGAGGATGGGTGGGATGTGTGAATTCACAGAGGACCACTAGAAGAACCATGTTACAGGTAGGTAACCTCTCTTTCTTCTTTCTGGCCTCTGTGAATGCACACAATTGGGTGACCGACAAGCTCACTTACCGGTTGGTGGGACATCATGGTAGAAGAGATGTCAAGACCGCTCTGCCAAAAGCAGCATCATTCTTTGCTCGGACATCAAGATGATATGCCTTACAAAGGTCGATGGATTAGACCAGTGGTTGGGGAACAGGTGTAAATTACCCCAAATGGGGTAAAAGTGAAAATCCTGGGGGATTGAGTGCTACCCCCATCCCCCACCCTAGTTGGTGGGACATCATGGTAGAAGAGATGTCAAGACCGCTCTGCCAAAAGCAGCATCATTCTTTGCTCGGACATCAAGATGATATGCCTTACAAAGGTCGATGGATTAGACCAGTGGTTGGGGAACAGGTGTAAATTACCCCAAATGGGGTAAAAGTGAAAATCCTGGGGGATTGAGTGCTACCCCCATCCCCCACCCTAATCCCCTGCAGCCAAACCTCAAATTGTAAGCCACCTCTCCCTGTTACTTCCTTGGTTGCGGCAGGGCACTGGTAAATCCATTCTTTCAGAGATCGGACATAAGCCTGCTTGATTGGTTACAGCTGTAGAATAGCCCCGGGCAGTCAGTCAATCTGGGGCTTGTGAATGACTGCTTTAACTCCATAATGGGTACACAACACTTGCTTGAACAGGACATAGAAAGAGTTCATTTTGTCGGTAATCCCCAAAGCCCCAGAACAAGAACAGTGGTGGTGAAGTTTTTGAATTATACAAAAACAGAACAATTTATGAGAGAAATCAAACGAAAACAAGACCAGCTGGTCTATAGGGGCAATAAACTTGTTTAAATTAATGAGAGGAAAAGGACATACTGAACTGAAGCGACTAATTGTTGAAAATTGAGGGAGAAAGGGTTTGTGGGGGGGGGAGAGAAAGAGAGAGACTGACTCAAAACTATGAAAAAAGGAAGAGGCAAGCAAAACAGAAGGCTTGAATTAAGGTGCTGTGTAGGTTTGTCATCGCCTTCCTCCCAAGAAGCAGGCGTCTTTGAATTTTGTGGCTGCTGTCACCATCTGCAGTGATCATTGAGCCCAAGAAAGTAAAATCTGTCACTGCCTCCATATCTTCCCCTTCTATTTGCCAGGAGGTGATGGGGCCAGTGGCCATGATCTTAGGGGTTTTTTTATGTTGAGCTTCAGACCATTACTTGCGCTCTTCTCTTTCACCCTCATTAAGAGATTCTTTAATTCCTCCTTACTTTCTGCCATGCTTTTGCATAGTCAATGAAGCAGATGTAGATGTTTTTCTGGAACTCTCTTATACAGCACATATTAGCAATTTGGTCTCTAGTTTCTCTGCCCCTTCAAAATCCAGCTTGCACTTTATTTATTTATTTATTGGACTTATATACCGCCCCATAGCGCTACAAGCACTCTCCGGGCGGTTTACAATTTTTTTTTTTATTATACAGGCTACACATTGCCCCCCCAGCAAGCTGGGTACTCATTTTACCGACCTCGGAAGGATGGAAGGCTGAGTCAACCTTGAGCCGGCTACCTGGGATATTCTTCTGGGAGTTCTCGGTCCACATACTGCTGAAGCCAACCTTGGAGGATTTTGAGCATAACCTTGCTAACGTGTGAAGTGCGTGCAATTGTACGGTAGTTGAAGCATTCTTTGGCATTGCCCTTCTTTGGGACTGGGATGTAGACTGATCTTTTCCAGTCATTTGACCACTGCTGAGTTTTCCATTGATGATGATTTTAAAAAAAAGCACGCTTGTCCTTTGATGTTGCGCTGTGACATCAGGGTGGGTGATATGACCTTTAGCCTGGTTTGTTCCTTTTTGCACACCTCATGATTAAAGTGGTAGGAAAAGCCCCCCCTCAAACTCTGCATTGGCTGTCTCTAGTAAGCATGTCATTGTTAGCACCACTCTGGCAGTCATTGACGATGATTAAATCCTCTGCGAGCTAGCAAAAAGTTAATGCAACTTGCTAGGCACGATGGACACCTTACTACTTCCTATACCACCCCATGGCTGGAGTGCAATGTGTTCCAGCAAAAATAGTGCACATCTTTATTAAATTTGGTGCATTCTGCTAGTTTGGTACATAGCCAGGCAGCTATTGATACTGATATATATCCTGCTAGTTCGGTACACAGTCTGTGTAGATTCAATAATATTTTGAATTCAAATAATGTATGATTTCCTTCCTTTCAAATCAAGGGGGTAATGTTGGCGTATATACATTTTGGGGGGAGGTAAAAAAGTTCTCTAACCCCTGGATTAGATCATGTAGCTGCACGGCAGATGTGCAGAAGCCCTATTCAACGGTGGAAAGCAGTAGAGGTTGACAGCGCTCTGGCAGAATGTCTCTTAAATGTTCAGGAGGTGTCTTGCCTGCGAGCTCATAGGCCAATGAGTTTAAGCAATCCAACAAGAGATAGTTTGAGGTGAAGCTGGGATACCCTTATGAGGGCCTTGAAAACATAAGAAAAGCCTTTGAGACTTTCTGAATAATTTAGTTATATCAATGTAGAAGGCCAAAGAGTGTCTTACATCAAGCATGTGGAGCATGCACGCGAGAGGTGTAGGAGGAGACAGAAATAAAGTTGGTAAAATCAATGGTTGATTGAAATGAAATTCAGAAACAATTTTGAGTAAAAACGATACATCAGAATAGAGGGTAACCTTATCTGGATGAAACTTAGGGAAAGGTGGATCTGATCTGAGGGCTGCACATTTGGCAGATGTTACTGCTACAAGGAATGATGTCTTTAGAGAAAGTAATTTGAGATTGGACATAGCCATTGTTTCAAAGGGTAGTCGAGTGAGCACACTGGGGACAAGTTGTAAGGACCATTGAGGGAGAGGATGTTGCTATGGGGGGAATATTTTGGAGTCCCTTGAGAATTTTTTTCAAAGTTGAGTGGGGAAAAAAGCCTTGCTGAATCAGATTGAGAAGGTTGGTGGGCTGCAACAGCTGAAATGTAAACCTTCAAGGTAGAATGAGACAGTCTGAGATGAAAGAGATGGAGGATAAAGATAAGTAGGGTCTTCAAATTGGTGTTGCAGGTAAGTCATGAGAATGAGCAAAGGAGAGGAAATATTTCCATTTATTTTGGTATAATTTTAGAGTTGATGGCTTTCGAGATCAATCGCGGGAATATCCTCCATGCTGTCAGGTTCAGAGAATCTATGTCGGGATGGTAAATCACCCCATTGTCTTGGGTCAGAAGGTTGGGGACCAATGGGAGATGGAACACATTGGTCGATATCGATCTCAGGTGGCTGAACCACGGTTGACGTGGCCACTATGGGACGAGGAGGATGGCATTCGAGTGGAATTGTTGAAGTCTAATGACGGTTTGTTGTATGAGTGGGATCGAAGGGAATAGGTAAAGTAGCCCAGTCTATCATAAAGGCATCTCCAAGTGAGTTCTGTCGACACTGACTTGGGAGCAATACCGTTGGCACTTGGTGTTGATTTCAGAGGCAAAGAGATTGATGGACGGAACACCCCATTGGTGACAGAGGAGGTTGAAAACTTTGTTGTTCAGTGCCCATTCATGTGTCCTGGTGGTAAGACAACTGAGGTGGTCTGCGAGAAGGTTGTCGTGTGTGGTGACATGGACCGCTACGGGGAAGATGTGGCGCAGGTAGCACCATTCCCAAAGTTCGACCGCCAGATAAAGGAGCGAGAGGGAGT